AAAAGGGCCAGTGTAGACAGCTCAGATTTGTTTTGCGCAAAAAAGCCCCGATCACGAAAATGGCGATCGAGGCTTTTTTGTGCAAAAGCGCGTCTAGATTGGCCACGGATGCTTTTCCGCAAAAAGTGCTTTTGCAGAAAAGCGTCCGTGCCAATCTAGACGCTCTTTTCCGAAAATGCTTTTAATGGAAAACTTTTCCGTTAAAAGCATTTCCGGAAAATCGTGCCAGTCTTAGACGTAGCCTCCGGGTTTACAGTTTGGTTCAATGGCTTTCAGTATGCCCACTATACAAATTGTTCCAGCCCCTCTTTAGTCATTGGTACCTTCATTTCATCAGCATTCAGGAGCATTCCACACAGGAGAAAATCCTCATACTGCAACCAGGGCACAACCGGCTCGGGGAGTTCCCTCAGGTAGAGTTTGAACAAAGAAGCCACCGTATGTACATCGGTGTCACTGTAGAACAAAAGGTGAGATTGGAATCAAAGAGCGATTCAGATGCTGTGGGTGAGGGAACCATGGGTCAGTTTTGCTCATCTTTGTTGTGTGAATTTAGCATTTGGGAAACCTGCTTTGAGCAACCCTGGCCTCCCCCTCAGGAAAGTGGTGGGGCTACGAAGGGACTGAGGACACAAATCAAAACTGGATGAGCAGGCCACCAGCGGGGGACACCAGGAAGAGAGCCCAGGGAGCACCCACTGCTCTGAGACGAGACTAAAGGAGACAGAGGAAGGGAAGTGAACGTTTATCAGAGCTTCCTGCTCTACCACAGGGTTAGTGGTGTCCCATCATTCATAAGCAAGTAATGTTTTCCTGCATTGACTTAACAGGCAAATATTTTCTAGCACTCACATAGTTGGCAGGCCTTTTCCACTCAGAGCTTGCCTAGGTTTTGAAGGTTAACAGCAATTACTGAACATGGTCTGCTAGGACAGATGTTTGCAGCTTTGCCTACCATATAGTTTATATTATGTCATAAAGGACACTGTCAAGATTAGCCTCTGTTTTGACTTACCTTGAAGTTGTTAAACTGTTAAAATCTACTGGCAAAAATCCACTAGGACATTTATTTTTTAAGTTGTTGGGATTTTTTTTAAAGCCTGCCACTCGATCACTGAAAAATTCTTTACAATTCTTTAAAAGCCACCATTTTTGTAGACCCGACCGAAACAAAATATTGTTTCACCTGCCTGCTCTGCATCAGAATTTCTATCACAAGCACCATGCCATATATGGCAGAGGAGACAGTGGGGGGAAAAGATCTTCAAAGGAAGACTGAAGTTATCAAATTCTTACTGTTGTTTTTACATAAAAAGAGCCAATAACGGATCTTCCCCAGTCCAAGGCTATGTCTAGACTGCAGGCTTCTTTCTGAAGCCACTTCCTTGGGGATGGGATACCATGGGGGAGAGAGAGTGAGGAAGGGATGGGGCTTGTGGGCCAGTAACAGACACCCTCCTCCTCCCTGCCCACTGAGTGTCCTGGGCCGGATTGCACAATCATTCCAGCTGGAGCTGGCCCGCAGACCGGGCGTTTGAGACTCCGACCTTAGGGAGTCATTACGCCATTTATTCCAAATCCTGTAATGCAAAAGTGACATCACTGGGCACTGAAAAAACAATAGCCCATCCAAAGCATTGTTCTGCCAGAGGCTTTCCTTTCCTGCACACCCAGCACAGGTTGCAACAGGATCCGCACCGGATGTTGTAATGCAGAAACTCAGAAAGCAAGAACTGTTCAACTCCAGAAAGCAACAGCCAGGGAGGCCAGTTTTAAAACACAACAGACATGGGGGCTTTCAGATATCAGCTCAGCACAGGGATTATTATGGACTGTGGTTTACTTAACTGCCTTGCAGTGAACTTTCCTTTCTATATAAAGGAAAATAATAAAAAGGAAGGGTGATATTGTGGTTAATGTGGTGGACTAGGGCTCTAAAAATAGTGGTTCACTTCCCAACCCTACCCTATACACCTTGGGGAAATTAATCAAAACAAAACTTTCCGTGGTCTCTAATTTGAGGTCCCTCCATTTCTGGATGCTCACTTTAAGGCCTTATCTACACTTACCAGAAGATCTTCACTGCGGGAATCGATCTCCCGGGTATAGATTTAACAGGTCTAGGAAAGACCCACTAAATCAACTGCTGATCAAGCTCCCATTGCCCCTGGTACTCCAATCTGTGCTAGTAACTGGCTATTTCAGTAGATGGACCAAGAGCTGAATGGGGAATGAGGACTAAACTCTGGCCTCACAGTAGGTTCGCCAGGCCCTGCCCATTGTGCAAGGAAGGTCATTCCTCCAATTAGAACAGAGGATTCCAAGAAGATAGGGGTGAAGAGAAAGTCAAAGCCTGGACTGTGACCGCAGGGATGGAGGGATAACTGGTAACACTGGCAGACAACATCACTCACAGTTTAGGAAGAGGATTTGGAAGATTATAGGGGAAAGGTGCTGGACAGATTGAAATTGAAGTTTCCTCTTTACTTACCGAACATGCTCAGCAAACAGACGCAGTGCAGCTCTTCCCCACAAACTCTGCCTTGAGAATATGTCCCAGGGTATGTCTACACTACCCCGCTAGTTCGAACTAGCGGGGTAGTGTAGACATACCCTGGGACATATTCTCAAGGCAGAGTTTGTGGGGAAGAGCTGCACTGCGTCTGTTTGCTGAGCATGTTCGGTAAGTAAAGAGGAAACTTCAATTTCAATCTGTCCAGCACCTTTCCCCTATAATCTTCCAAATCCTCTTCCTAAACTGTGAGTGATGTTGTCTGCCAGTGTTACCAGTTATCCCTCCATCCCTGCGGTCACAGTCCAGGCTTTGACTTTCTCTTCACCCCTATCTTCTTGGAATCCTCTGTTCTAATTGGAGGAATGACCTTCCTTGCACAATGGGCAGGGACTTGTCTGCTCCTCCACTGAAATCAACTGGGCCAGGGACTTCCACGAGCTCTCAGTTGCTAACAGGGAATAGATAGACCTGACCCTGAAGGTCTTAGTTGGGTGGAATCAGGAAATGCAAATGTTACCGGTCAAAAGATGGCCTTTCCCCAGCATCAAACGCATCCCGTAGGTGCTTCACCAGGTTGTCTTGGCCAGGAAGTCGGAAGATGCCCTCCTCATTCATGCCGTGCTCACGTATGAACTCTGCGCACTTCTCCATCAAGATGGGGACCGGGTGCTTTCCGAATTTCTGTTCATATGCCACCGTCTCGGCCAGGCGCTGGCCAAAGACCACTGGAGAACAGAAGGGTTTTGTGAATATAGGCTAGAGGTGGGCCCAGAGGCAGCCTGTGGGATTTATCCTAGTCCCCTGCAATACTGACAGTGCATGGAGCTACTTTCAAAACTGAACACAGGTTTGGTTGCTAGATGAAATATACAACCAGATCCTCAGCTCAATCTCCCCTGATGTTCATGAAGCAATGCCAATTTACACCAGTCGTTTACATCTGGCCTGCACAATCATAAAAACTTAGAAACTCCCCGACCAAACTGGAACTATGGTCCATCTAGCTTGGGATCAGTGGCCACTGCAAGATGCTTCAGGCAATTTACACCAAAGGTGTAAATGATGTTTTTGTGTAGCTCAGCTTATTCTCTATCTGCCTGCTTGTTGTAAACTTCTGCTGAAACTTCCTTAAAGGAAACCCCTACCCTGAGATAAGCTGAAAAATTCAGCTCAAAACTTCCCCAAAGTTCCCGATTTGAGGCCACTCTGCACATTTCTGTTTATAAGCTCTCTCAGCACTGCACAACAAACAGCTGGTAAAGTTAACATGCCATAGATAGGAAATCGGGGTACCCCAGACAGAAGTTTGCTTTGTTTTACAATATCCAGTGACAAACACTTTCTTACAAATATTCCTCCTGAATGTTTGATGGGAGACAGATCAGGAGAAAATTGAAGGGGATAATTCATAGAAGCTATTGATTAAATAACAGAAAATAAAACATCTTCAGTGGAATTAAATTAACCTGTATTAAGCCCTTTCCCTCAAATGGTGTTAATACTTTAAATTTTCAAAGTGCCATGCAAATGTTCACGTAATGGCCTTGTTTTAAGGAGGATTGTCTGTTTACAGATGATGAGTCTGAAATAGAGCCAACATAGGGACATAATAAAAATGCCGGGGGAGTCCAGGGAGAATATGAAAAATGCCAATAGGATTCCAGAAGTGCAGAGGGTTAGAAAATCTTCAGGGAATAGCAGATCTGCAACGGCTATGTCACATCACTGCCTGGCTCCTGACACACATGCAGGGTAGAAGTGCCTGGGAATCCAGAGCCAGATTCCATGGGTTACGTGGGGCCCTGTCTCTTAATTCCTCCACACAGTGGCCGGGGGAGGGGCTGGGCTCTCTCAGGGAAATGGCAAAGGGGGATTATGAGCTCAGAGCCAGTTTCAGAGGCACTGAGCATGAGCAGCTCCCAGCGGAGCCAACAGCTCAGCACTTCTACAAACCCGGCTTTTCCAGGTGGAGCAAACCTCTAATATCAAGTCAAATGCCAGAGCTGTAGCTCAGAGATCTTGGTTTCTGGTCCCCTCCTGGGTTCCTTAGCTCTCACTGCCTCCCTTGTAGTCAGAGCCATTGCTAATAAACAGAGATCTTAAAGCTAAGGTGGCAAAGGAATAACAGCCTCACCATTGCAGCTCCAGGGGGTTTGGGCAGGCAGCCTTTCCCTAGCCTGATCCCCATGTGTCCTCCGCCATCACTAAGCTACACAAGTGCTGCTTTTTTAAAGGATCAGTACCTTTCCTCCGGAGCAACGGCTTTTTCCTCCTGAACTCCCAGCAAAAAAGCAGCCCCAAGGCTGGAAGGCAGCCGCCCACATCCCAGCTCTTCATCCTCAGGGCTTTAGGCATGATGACAGCAGAGACGTTCCAGGCCCCAGTGGCTCCCGAATATTAACGGCAAAGGGCCCCACGGCCTCCTACTGGATTCTGCCCCATAACGTCTTTGCCTTCTGGTCTGAAGGCTGAAATAATCCCTGCGTGTCTCTGGCAGAGCAGCATTGTGCTCGTAACTTCTCCCATCTAGTACCACAAGACTTGTCAGCACCTGCCCTATGTGATTTTTTCATTGACACAAGACTCCCCTTTGCTTTTAAATAACACACATAAACATGTCACTGTGCTCGCTACAAGTAAATGGCTCCTTTTTCTTAGTTCATTATTATCTGCCATTCCATTTTCACCCAGGAGGATCATAAATATCAACCCTCTTCCAACACTGCTCTGTGTATCAGTCATTCCATTGACACAGAGACTTCCACTTAGCATGCCAGCCAGGCCAGAGCTACTGCCCTGGGCTCAGAGGCCTCCTAAAGGCTTGTTTCACTCTACTCTCCTCCTCCACTTTGTATCCTGGAGCAAATTAACAAACAGCTGTTGTGTCTGCATGAGTCACATGGGACATTTTTCAAGGAGGATGCAACCAAGCCATAGGGCATAGAGATGTACAAGACAGATCGTATCCAGACCGTAGCCTGCTGCTTGGGAACCCATTAACCCCACGTTAATGTGTAACATGGATCAACGTCACTGAAAAGTGGCCTGAATCCTCATTTACAATGAAGCCCCTTTACACCACTCTGGGGCTTGCATTTACATGGGCTTTAAGGCCACTTTACCCTGCCAGCACAATTCCTTGGTGTAAATGAGCGTCAAAGCTAGAGTCTTTCTTTGCAATCATGGGAGTTTTTAGGGGGGCTGGCTTTGGGGGGGACCTTGCTCAAATGACCCGTTTTGTACCACTGGCGGTACAGCAACTTTCAAGACAATCAGAGGGGGCTTCAGAGCACTTAGAAAAACTGGCTGTTAAACATTAACCTTAACTACAGCAGCCCTACTGCTTGGATAGAATAATGCTCTAATGCCATCCACTAACCTCAGATCTTTGCCTTGTATTGTTGTTGTTTGAATCACAATAGCACTGAAAGGCCCCGCCTGAAATCAGGGCTTTGTAGTGCTGTGGAGAGACTGCCCCTGCCCAAATTGCTTATGGTTTAAATAGGCAAGATGGACAATAGGACGGATGGGGAAACAGGAGAAGAGACTTGTGCAGGTCCATCAGAACCACACAGCTCTCCTGATTTCTAGTTCTGTGCTCTATCCACTGGTCCATGCTGCCCCAATCTCTCTCTCTCTCTCTTGCTCTCACGCTCTCATGTTCAGTTCACTCCTCTATAGAATACTACTAATTCTCTTGATTGCAGAGTATGTCAGTCCAGAAATCTGAGCCCACCACCGACAGTCCCTCTGTTGTGGAGCCTACCCCTCAGCTGTTACAATGTCTTTTGCAGAGAGTGTCAATAAAGTCATAAGATACTGAGCAAAATATTAACCTTTTTAAAAGTGCATATTTTATAAAGCATTGGAGTGGCCACACGCCACAATGATGGGGGCACTCCTGGAAATCCCTAAGACAGATGGATGCTCCCATCACTCTTGGTGTATCTACAACACTGACTCGTTTACATCATGCTGCCTTTCTAATTGGCTAGGCATCCCTCTTGGCACAGGCATAAAAAACTGGACATTGTGCTGGGCAGTGGGGAACCAGATGCTGTAACTCTTCCTGCACCCAGCAGGGGCTGGGGAGACAAACACGTTGCTCACGCTGCAAAGCCAAACCACATGACTCTGCTGTGAATGGGCCAGATGGCCATGGGAGAAAGGGATGCAGCATGGTCTAGAAGTTAGAGCAAGGGATTTCCTGGGGGCTATTCTTGGCTCTTCCACTGTCAGCTCTGGCTGGAAGTGGCTGTAGGTCTGGATGCCTGCTGATGTCCATGGGAGTCTTTCCAAAGGATACTGAGTTAGGTCCTTAATGCGCCACTTGTTTTTGGGATGCTATTTACTTAAAATGTAAGCGCTCTGGGGTAGGGTCAGTTTTTTGCTTGGGGGTCCTGGCTGGGGCTTCTCAGCATTTCCACAATACAAATGAATAATATATAAATAAACAGCACTCCACTCTTCCATGCGCCGTTACAGTGACAGGGCAGCTGTGCTGCAAGGTTTAATTAGCATATAAGAAGTGCTTTGAATTCCGTGGGTGACAGTTCCTATAGCACAGGGGTCTCCAGCCTTTTTAACCACAAGGTCACTTCTTCAATTTAAGTGCAATGTAAGATCTACCCCCAACCCAAACAGTCTTGCCCAGCTTCCTTCCCCCCTCTCTGGGGCCGTGCTCCTTCTCCAACGCCTGACCCTCCTCACTCCATCCCCCTTCCTCCTCCAATCTCATTCACTTACACCAGGCTGGGGTGGAGGTGCAGGCTCCAAGGGGTTTAGAGTGTGGTAGGTGCCTCGCCCCGGGCCACTCCTGAGCCCATCCCACCACCTCCAGTGGGTCCCTTATCCTGTGTTGGCTGCCTGGTCACTCCCAGGGTGGGCAGGGCTTGATCTCCTGAGGGGGTGAGACTCCAACCCACAGTCCTGCCCTCCTCAGGCAAGTGCTGTATATCCCTAGGCTGCATCTACACTGGCAAAATCTTGCCACCTGTCTACACTGGCCGCGAGTATTTGCACAAGAACACTGACGTTGTACTGTACAAAATCAGTGGTTCTTGTGCAAATACTCTGACGCTCCCGCTCAGGGATAAGCCCTCTTGTGCAAGTATTCCATTAAAAGTGTTCTTGCGCAAGAGGGCCAGTGTAGACAGACAAGTTAATTTCTTGTGCAAGAAAGCCTGATGGCTAAAATGGCCATCGGAGATTTCTCGCGCAAGAGAGCGTCTACACTGGGCATGGATGCTTTTGCACAAAAGCAAATCTTTTGTGCAAAGGCACATGCCAGTATAGAGACGCTCTCTTGCGCAAATACTTTTAACGGAAAAACTTTTCTGTTAAAAGTATTTGTGCAAAATAATGCCAGTGTAGATGCAGTTCTAGTCCACTCAAGGACCCACCCCACCTTCCATGACTTCAGAGGGTCCCTTGCCTGGTCACTCCCAGGGTGGGTGGTAGGCTACTAGGAGGGAACAAGACTCAAACCCACCATCCTGTACTCCCCAGCTGAATGCCCCAGCCCTTAAGCCATTCTAGAATCCACCCCACTGCCCTCTCTTAGCCTGCCTGCCTGCCTTCCTAATACAGGAGCCAGCTCCATCCCTGGGGCAGCTGGGGTTGGCTGCCCAGCTGCTGCCTGAGTGGGCAGAGGTGGGTGGGATCAAGTCCACCAGCCTGTGCTCCAGAGGCTGATGCCCCATCCCCAAGTTCACTGGGGATCCCACTCCACCTCCCTACCTTCAAGCTCACAGTGGGAGCGACCAGATGCAGGATAAGGGACCCTCTGAAGGTAAAGCAATAGGGTGGATTCTAGAGTGGACTAGGGGATAGGGCACTTGCCTAGAGAGGGTTGGGTCATGAGTTCATGTCCCAAGCACCTAGACAGCTACCCCAGGGATGGAGCAGCAGGGCCTGTCCTAGCCCCACACCACCCCTAAATGCAGCTGGCATGTAGAACAATGGCTCCATGTGCTGCCCCTCATTCACAAGCACCACCCTCCCCTGGCTACAAATCTCCATTGTTGATCAAGGGGAGCTGCAGGAGTGGCCCACAGGCAAGAACAGCATGTGGAGACCCCTTGCTTGGCCTCCCTCAGGGGCTGCAGGGAGCAGAGCTGGCTCTAGGCACCAGCAAATCAAGCATGTGCTTGGGGCAGCACATTTCTAGTGGTGGCATTTCCAGGTAAGTGCCTGGCCCTGCTGATTTTAAAGGGGCCACGAAAGCTTGGCTCTGGATGCTGGGAGCTGGCTGCTGAGTCCAGCCCTCTTCACTGGTGAGCAATGGCTCTGCTCCCCATGCCCCTCTGGCTCTGTGCTGTCCCTGCACCTGCACCCGCACCCCCCTGTGGGTCAGGAGTGAGGGGTGCTTGTCCATATGGAGGGGCAGGGAAAAGGCTGTTGTGATCCAGCAGGGGGTGAAAGGAGATGGGGAGTTTACTTGAAGTGCCTTTGCCTTTAGGGGGAAAAAAAATAATTAAAATTATATTTGCTATTTATAGGGCTAAAATGCTAAAATGCCGGGACGAAAACAAAACAAAACAAAATTGCAAAGTGCAAACATGTAAAAGACAACAAAAAAGTGGGGCGGGGGAGGGGCGCAAAACATAGTTTGCTTGGGGCGGCAAAAATCCTAGAGCTGGCCCTGGCAGGGACATGCCAGCCGCCTCTAGCAGCACAATTCACCACAGGGAGAATTACTCCAGACATGACTCAAACAATTAAATGTAAAGATAAAAGAGAAATGAAAGTTATGAAATGCACAGTCCAGTCAAAACCCAAAAATAACCCACTTTGCCAGCTGTAAAAGAAGGAACGACCCCCCCACCTATGTGTGTGTGTTTGTGAGTGACAGAGACACACACAGTGTGTGAGAGTGACAAGCTCCCTCCATCCCCTTCTCTCTGTGAAGATAGTGTACAGAAGTGGGGGGAGGAGGGACACCCCGACATCAGCCCCCCTTCTTCTCCCTCCCACACCCTGCACAGCAAGCAGGATGCTCCCAAAGGGCAGCTCCAAGGCAGAGGGCAGGCGCAGCATGACAGCAGGTGGAGGGGCAACTGAAGTGCCAGCACTTGAGAGCTTCCCGGCCAAACCCGTCATGATCCCCTGTCGGAGGCTCTAAGATCTACTGGTGGATCCTGAGTTACTGGTTGGTGACCACTGCTATAGAAGCACAAGATGTTCGTGAAAAGCCCCCACCCCACCTCACCCCAATTCTATTGCAGCTGCCCTTTACCTCCTGACGGAGATCCCACCACTCTTCGGATAGATTTAACCCACTCATCCATCTCAGACTGGGAGTTGGCCATCAGTACATAGGAGTCTTGTCCTGTCCGATTCTGGTCTCCCGAGACCCCTGGGAAAATAATTACTTGTAAAGGCAGTTGGGAGTGGAACAAAGATGTGTGCCCTTATTCATTTCTTAGCTAAATGCTATGGGCCCCAAAACCCTTTATCCTCTATGGCAGTGTTTCCCTATTTTATTTGGCCGAGGAACCCTTTTCAGCTTTTCAGAATTTCAAGGAACCCCTAGGTTTTTCAACAAAAAAAGGGGGGGGGGGGAATCCCCACCAATGCATGAAAACCACATTCCTTCTCCAAGACCCTTCCACCCCCCTTCCTTGAGGCCTCATTCACTCTGGGTCTGTCTACACTACAGCGCTAATTCAAACTAACTTAATTCGAATTAGTTCATTCGAACTAAGCTAATTCGAATTAGCGCAGCTAGACTTAAAAACTAGTTCGAATTAGCATTTTGCTCATTCGAACTAGCATGTCCACACTGAGTGGACCCTGAACAGAAGTTAAGGATGGCCAGAAGCAGTGCCGGCAGGGCATCAGATGAGGACTTAGAGCGTGGAGCCTTAAAGGGACCCAACCCCCACCCCGGACAGACAGTTCTCAGGGTTCCCCGCTTGCAAAGCAGTCCTGGCTTGGAGTACCCTGAGTGCCCACATGCGGAACATCACAGCACTCGGCCATCACCCTGGCTGCACTTGCCACAGGCTGCCATCCGGGAGGAGGGGACAATCGGGGGGCTGCAGGAGAGCTTCCACCCCGAGAAGCCCACAGAGCCAGCCCTCCCCATCGGGGTGCATACCCCATTCCTCCCTCACCTCCTTCCACTTACCCTTCCCTAGCCCCCCTTCCTGATGTACAAAATAAAGAAAACGTGTGTTCAAAAATAGAATCTTTCTTTATTGAACAAAACTGGGGGAGACTGGGAAAAAGAGGTGGGAGAGGGGAAGAGAGAGGCTGGGAGAGGGGAGGGCAACTAAAATGATCAGGGGTTTGGAACAGGTCCCAT